CTATTTTATTCAGGATACAAGTTTCTATATTATATTACCTATGGTAGGAAAAATTTTATAGTAGTCAAGTGTTTTGCTCAGTTATTTGCCATAATTTCTCTTTTACATTTGTTAAGGTTGAAGCCATTGGTTATTATTTTTCACTATCAAATATGCAATCAAAATTATTTTGATGAGACTGAGATGAATACTTTTTTACAGAATTGTTTTAAATTAAAAAAAATCAATGATTAATATACTGTGTTCTGATTTATTTATAGTTTTTTTTATTTGTAAAGATATTGGTTTGATTTTTATAATTTTCAAGCAATGGTTATTTTTTTTAAGCAAATTATTTATTTGTAATCAGATCAATTGGTAATATTTTGGTATAAATTAACCCAGCTGTTCATATTTTATATTTAAATATGATTTAATCTTAAAATGAATTGTTTATATTTACGGTGTTTAATTTAAACCACATAAACATTTGTTTAATTCATTATTGAATAATTTACATAAAATTTTTAATTAAAATGTAGCTTATAATGCATAAAAGATTTTAACTCGCTCATATAGATAATTTAATAGTGGCTAGTTTATTTAAAAAATGCAGAATTGGCCAAAAAAATTAGAAGAATTTAGTTTATGTGCTGTAAAATCTCCCTTTGGGTACCCACTTCTCATTTATGACTGACAGAAAAGTTTCCCAACGTTTTTCCATTGATTTAAATGGATAATTGATCTATTTTGTGACCACCAATGATATATGCCAACCTCCAATATGTGACCATGTTTAAGTTCCTTCCATACAAATCAACCTCTGATATATGATCATCTAAACAAATCTAGGCATATAGTTATTTCAAAAATGATTTGTTTGCCTTATGGAACTGCTTTTTATGTTCTGTTTCTAGACAGTGGCAAATTAAGACCGTCCAGGGTCCTAGGAACAGAAGATTAGGAGCACCTCAATATTATTGTACATCATCATAAACTTCTAATTTTAGCTATAGAATTATTTATAAATTATAATATATGATTTCAACTGTAAAATGGCTTTATTTTTTCTAATTTTGGGGTCCCCCAGAGGTCCAGGAGCCATAAATTCCATCACAGATTCTTTAATAAGTAATGTTTGACTTTATTCAAAGACACTTCAGAATGCCTTCATAAACTTTGAGTGTCTTTGATGTTTCTAAAGTGATTAATTTGAATTTGTTAAATCAAGCTATTAATTAATAACACTAAAAATTTTTTCACAAAACAGTAACTTTATCATTAACAAACTACTGTTGAAACTTAGTCTTTAGATTAATTGCCTAAAATAGTTTAAATGTTGAACAAATATTCTCATTTTCTGTAAATTGTTGCAAATTCTGTAATACTGTGTGTTGAAATATGTTTAAAGGTTACTAATGATACCCTCTGTGTTNTCGCCATGGTACGAACACACGGAAAACAATAAATGTAAAATTAATCGCAATAATATTAAAATTCTACACCATGAAAAGGACATATATAAACGTAAATTTAAAGAACACTTAGAAATTAAGAAAAACCAAAATAATTTAATAAATATTTCTGATGGGATGCAAATAGATTCTAGATGGTACAAAATGATAGAGGGTGCTATATAGTTATAAAATAATGAAGTTATTGCGATTGATTACAAAGTGATATTCTAATGTATTGCTAGTTGGTTTGATTGTTCGTATACTATTTATATTTTAAAGGTATGTAATGTATTGGTTATCGTATACACTTGTTAAGTTTACAGTTTAGTCATAACGTATATTGGTTTTTAGAAGTGATGTATGCAAACACTTCAAGTTCATTTTAAATGGAAAACAAATGGTTGGTGTTTAGATGTAGTGGTAGCCCATACACAACTTATACTTTAAGAGTAAGTAAGTAGTAATATTTTGTAATGTATTTGTGTCATGTATTGCTTATTGTAGCTTTTTATTGTTTTTTGAAAAATTAGCACTGAAGAGGGGTTGGATGAGTATACCAACTTGAAATGCATATGTCATTTTTTAAAGAATAAAAGTGAGTTCCTAACTAAAAGTTTTGCTGTGAGTCTGTCTACCAAAAATTTTGGATTACAGAGACGAATTATATACATAGTAACATACAGCAGTCCAGATACAGAGTGAACAGATAGTATAATGTTATTTGTTTAATTATTGTAGGTTATAATAAATAAAATATCTAATTATTCTNTTTAATTAAAATGTAGCTTATAATGCATAAAAGATTTTAACTCGCTCATATAGATAATTTAATAGTGGCTAGTTTATTTAAAAAATGCAGAATTGGCCAAAAAAATTAGAAGAATTTAGTTTATGTGCTGTAAAATCTCCCTTTGGGTACCCACTTCTCATTTATGACTGACAGAAAAGTTTCCCAACGTTTTTCCATTGATTTAAATGGATAATTGATCTATTTTGTGACCACCAATGATATATGCCAACCTCCAATATGTGACCATGTTTAAGTTCCTTCCATACAAATCAACCTCTGATATATGATCATCTAAACAAATCTAGGCATATAGTTATTTCAAAAATGATTTGTTTGCCTTATGGAACTGCTTTTTATGTTCTGTTTCTAGACAGTGGCAAATTAAGACCGTCCAGGGTCCTAGGAACAGAAGATTAGGAGCACCTCAATATTATTGTACATCATCATAAACTTCTAATTTTAGCTATAGAATTATTTATAAATTATAATATATGATTTCAACTGTAAAATGGCTTTATTTTTTCTAATTTTGGGGTCCCCCAGAGGTCCAGGAGCCATAAATTCCATCACAGATTCTTTAATAAGTAATGTTTGACCTTATTCAAAGACACTTCAGAATGCCTTCATAAACTTTGAGTGTCTTTGATGTTTCTAAAGTGATTAATTTGAATTTGTTAAATCAAGCTATTAATTAATAACACTAAAAATTTTTTCACAAAACAGTAACTTTATCATTAACAAACTACTGTTGAAACTTAGTCTTTAGATTAATTGCCTAAAATAGTTTAAATGTTGAACAAATATTCTCATTTTCTGTAAATTGTTGCAAATTCTGTAATACTGTGTGTTGAAATATGTTTAAAGGTTACTAATGATACCCTCTGTTTTGTATTCACTTCCCATAAATGATCATTTTTGAATTTTCCTGAGTGGTTGCAAATGGGAGATTTTAATGTAAAATGCAAGCGATTTCTAAGGTGATAATATACCAGGTGCTATGATAACTTACTGGTGTAATTACTGCATTTTTAATAGATTTTAGAAGAAAACTAACATTTTTGACCCGCTTAATGGCTCATTCTCAGGCACTCCACTTTTAAATTATCTGTATTAAAACTAAGTTAAAACTCAGTTGATAATTTTACAAAATTAGATGTGTAATTTTACTTTTTAATCAATGCTTGGATTTATACATACCCAAAATATCCCAAAAGTGCATTTTCGTAGGAAACATTATGTGATATCATTATTAATAATAATTAGTTTGTAGATTTTGAAAAATAAATAAATATACATTGCAACAGAAGGTAGAATTGTTAGTATTAGAGAGAATTACATGGTTTACTCACCAAAACTTGATAAAAACAAACCCAGTTGGTTGCAAAATTTCATCTTCATTATCTGTGATTATGAGGATGACCACTATATTTTCTCCAGAACATCTTTGTTTTCCAACATATTGCCAACTGGATTTATTTTTTTATTAGGGTGTATTTGATAGAATCTTAAGCTTATATCTGATGCTTTCAACAGTAAAAGCTCTATCTATCTTCTCTTGTAGTATATAGTGATTAACTTCTCAATAACTGCATATTAATAATAATAGTATATGGGATTTTGAAGTTTGTCATTTTGTAGCTTAAAATATTGTGGAACGGATGTAAATAATAATATTAACCTCATAGCAGATTTCTCAAATGTAATTTTGTATTTGTTCTAATTCGAAATTATTTAGTTACTTATTTTCTGTTTGTTTTGAAGTGTTTCATGAAAATCTATAAAATAACTTTTGTAAATATTAGTAGAGAATCATTATAAGTAATTAAAATTTCTTTTAAAAAAATATAAATATTTGGAATTCTATCAAAGTCGATATTCATTCATAACTTTTCTCAATAAAAAATTATCAATGAATGAATTTTGTTATAATTGAATTTAATATTTTATATTAAAAATTATAATAAAGGAAAGCGAAAATAGCATAAAATTTATTTTAATGCTATTTTCATTTATAACATTTTTGTTTTTTAAAATACAAATTAAAAATAGATATGCTGCTCTTCAGACTCAGACAGTATTGAAACTGTTATGAAACTTGTTTATCCAAGTGATTCCATTGTTTGAATTTGTCAAGCAAAATCCTAATTTATCAACAAAATTTAATTTTAAATCAAACAAATTTAACAATTTAGAACTTCATAATAATTGTTTAGTTTAAAAATGTAATTTTTTTTATTATTTATATATTTTTAAAATAAATTTCTGTTGCTATTCATAAATGAAAAGTTGTGTCAACACTTATAATATTGAGTAAAATATATAGTAAAGTTGATGAATATTTTTATTATTAATGTGTAAGCAGAGATTTAAGGTTTCCTTAATTGTATTCTGAAGCAATTTATTTTATTTACTGTTTAAAAAAGCAGTTTTAAATGAGTTTCTTACTGTTTGTATTTAATGTTGTAATTATGATAATCAGAATAATGATTCATTCATTCATTCATTCTTATTATATGATAATGAATTTAGTAATTTAAATATTTATGAGACAAGACATAGCTATGGATGAAAATAATAATAATAATAATTAGCTTAATTTAGAGCAAATAAAAAATTATTAACAATATGCAATTTACTGAATGTGTTTTCGCAGATTTGCATTTTTCTGGTTGATTTGGAGAGTTAATCTGTTTTTATTTTATTTTGATTATATGTAAATCGACTTGTTTTCATAATTTAATTAGTATTAGTTTGTATTTATTTTATTTGTTTAGATTCTTCAATGCCATTATGTCTTTGAGGCCTAAGAGAGTTAATTTTGATACTACGTGGGCTCAGTTGAAGGAGACGGTTGAAGGTGTTGTGACGCTCGGTAAAGTGAAAAGACAAGTGTGGAATGACCGTTTTAGATATCCTTTTTGATGGGTTTAATTTTTATTTACCTAAGATTAAATATGCATGCTGTATGCTTAAGATTCCTTAACATTTGATACCGATGTTTACGATTTGTGTGTTGCTGTTCCCGAGCCTTTAGGAGATCAGTTGTATTACGAGACAAAGTATTTTCTCGATCAGCACGTGAAGTCTTTACACAATGTATGCTTTCATTATTTTTATAATTAATATTTTTATGATTGTATTTAATAATATCTTATTTATTTAGTCTGTGCTCAGTAGTGAAGAGAAGTTACTGAGTGCCTACCATGAACATTGGCTCCAGTACAGCCAAGGAATAAACTACCTCAATCAACTTTATTTATATTTAAATACTCAACACATAAAGAAGCATAAATATAGCGAAGCGGATATTCAGTTTGGGTGTGTCGAAGCGGGTCATCAGATGCTAGAGATAGGCGAAGTAAGAAATCAGTTTGAAATTAAAGCAACTTAAGGATGCATTGCCTAGTAAAGCGGCTTTAATAAAGCTGGTTAAGCAGGCTAATGATATAGTCCATTTCAAACAAAATTGTCTATTGTTTGCTTGTCTGTTTGGCTGTATTAAAATTTAATTAATTAATTAAAATATCACTTTACTGGGCAACATACCCTAAAAGTCTGGTCTGTAATGTCTTTACATAAATTCTTATTTTGATTTTTGTATAATAGTTAGGACTGAACATTTGGAAGACGAATATGATTGAACCACTTAGAGAAAATTTAGTTCATTTACTACTTGAAGCGATAAAAAGGTAAAATAGTAACTAAATTTCATTACCTAATATAATTTAATTTATTAAATTGTATCTTTATATTTAAATTGTTTTAATTTGAGGTAAATATTTCTTTTTATGATGTATACTATTAAATTTATTGTGCCGTCTTTAATAATTATAATGAGTGAATATTAAAAATTTTTCAGTTACTAACTCTTAATAATGTAATTAAAGTTGAATAAGTTAATAATAAATAAAGTAAAACCTGTATAAATTGGAAACACATGAGACTGAATTATTTTATCCTGTTTGAACACGATTCAGTATTTTTTTCCCTCATGTTTTAGCTTTAAACTTTTTAAAATTAATTTAGAGTAACTTCAACTACAGACGGGAGTATTTGAATGCAAGACTAGAGAACTATTTGATTGGGGGAAGTTTGCATTATTTCTGAGAACTTGTGCTGGGTATCTGAGAACCTCTCAAATGCAATCCATATGAGCTCACATGATAACAAATAAGCCAATTGAAGTATCAAAAGTAGTATCTTGCACTGCTGTTGGAAATTCTGATTGCATTACAGTAATAAACAGAGCAAGTTTATCTGTGATCTCTTATTTAGGAATTTTTATACTTTGTATAATTGTTCCTTTAATCATTGTAAATTATCAACGTAATACTGAACTTGTTTTGACTACTTGGCTAGTTAGTTAGTTATTACAGCTCCATACAATGCAAATTGGCAGAATTATGTTACCTTCTCATTGTTTACATTAATTATGTTCATTGCTTGCTCTTGAAAACTCTGTTTTCAGAAACTCATTTAATTCTTGAAAGCTGAGATTTTTAAGAATATTCTACTTCTGGTTAATTTCAACAAAGGTTAATGTTAATGAAAACCTTGTGACTGCATATCTCCTTGTTATGTGACCTTTCTTTGACAAGATTTGAGATTTTTCTCTGAATGTAGTTTGTCATGTTCTGTGATGACTGTTATAGAGGTATACCTCACCTTACGTCGGTAATTGGTTCCGGGAGAGGTGACTTAAGTCGAAAAACAACGTAAGTCAAATTTACTTGTCACTAGGCTAAACCACAAATAACCATTCCCAGTTCTGTATTTTATTTATAAATGCATTTTTAATAATATATTGTTAATAAGAATCTATTTTAAGCTTACAAACAAATAAATTTTAGTTTTTTAATATAGTACAGAAAAAAGGAATCTAAATTTACAAATTCATGTACATCGCGGACTCTTTATTTGTGAATGTGGTTTGCTCTAAGACATTATAAAATAAGATGATTTTATAAGGTTAAATAACAAATACAGTTATTAAAATTATCTTGCGACAGTAGAAAATAAACTAATTTATATTAAATTTACCAGTATCGAGTGGCGCTGACAATGACGCCAAATGGTAGATATTGGAACTACTGCAGAAAAAACCAATATTGAGCACTTAGACACTAAATAAGACAACAACACAGTCACAGATGTTTTCACGTTTTGTTCTCTAGGATTTATGATGATTATATTAACATTTACTGTAAATGTACATATTTTAATATGATTTTATGTGTTATAATGCTTTTCTAGTGATATTACAACTTCAGTATTGTGGCGGACAGACATAAAGTCGAATAAAATGACTTAAACTTGATTTTTATTTTTCCATATATTTTTTTGACAAATGACACATAATCGAGAACAACGTAACTCGAAACGACATAACTTGAGGTATACCTGTACTTAGAGGCAATTTTACTTACTTGTCTATGATGGAACCCTAATTTTCTGCTTTATTCAAGTTAAATTACATTCTTTATATCCAAAAACTCTTCTGTTTTTGCAATGGACAGGTTTCCAGCTTTTAGTAAAATTTAACATAGAACATTGATCCATTACTAAGAATTTTTTATGTTTAGACAGGTTTCTGTTTTATTTAGGTTTTGTTTTAGACAGGTTTATTATATTTGAACTTAAGTTTTATTAACTTATTAAATATCTGCTTCATTTTTTTTAGTGATCGACTTGGAGATAGTCCTACCCAGAGTGTGATCCATGGTGTCATTCATTCTTTTGTGAATGTCGAAGAGTTTAAGAAAAAAGATCCACTTCAGGTTTTTTAAATTAACTTTTTATTTTTATTATTGTGTTACTAATATATTATTACAATAAGTAATTTGATTTAAAATAAAAGATGTAAAAATACAAATAAGAATTAGAAATTTACAAATAAATGCCAAAATTTGCCAAATTTTTGCCTAAGCTGACCTGGTAACAATTATCATGTTGAGAACTGCTGGCATATTAAGGCAACAAAATGCAGAGATTATTCTGGAAAATAGAGAGCAGCTGCAGTAATGTATTATAAGAGTTTAGTATAAAATATTTGAAGAAATTCACTTACTGTATGCTGGAGCCTCTGTTATTAAGACTCAATGTGTCTCTATGAAGTACAGTGGTGTCTTGTACTTCATACTTCAATATGAAATTTACAATTGATATTGAAAATAACTATGGTATACCAAAATTGATGCAATTTCCAAGGCCTCTACTATACATTATTCTTTGATAAAATCTTAATTTTCTTTTGGCTGTTTGTGTATTGCACCTAGGCTATTACAAAAATGCTGTTAATGAGAATGAAACAGAAAATTTTCACTTTTTTTATAATAAAATGCATTTAAAATCAGGAATTTTTTTTCTAAAGAAATTAGATAAAAATTTCTAAATTTTGCCTACCTATGCTTATGTGAGAGTAGCCGGGGGTACAACTCCTTTTTGGATGATTCGTACCACTTAATCGGCACAGATTATCCGAAATCTGTCTCTTTAGTTTCGGATCGAGGGATCCGATCTTAAAAAAGTTTTATAGGAGGGCTTTAACCGCTAGTTGATCCGAACTGCGAAGTTCAGATACTCGTCAGGACTGACACCAGTTTGTCAATTAAATTCCGCGGGCAAACACGCGTATGAGATCTGATTCGTCACAGAATAAAGAAACATCCCAATTAAAAACGAAATAATAAATTTAATATAACAAGAAAATAAATCATACAAAAATCTCAATGAACGAGAGAAAGAATTTCCACAATTAACATGCAAATCGAGAGATAGCTATACTTCTATTATACCGAATGCGCGATCGAGAGAGAGAGCTCACAAAAACGTTATAAAACATACAACCTGGGTTAGTTGACGTTCGTCTTCTTATTTGGTAGGTAAGGGACACCTTGTAGATAAGTTCATGTACTTCTTCGATGGGAGATCAATATGTGCACAAATATAAAAGTATATTTACTAAGTTCAGACTCGGGACTTAGTCTATGGGACTCGTTTAAGGGCGTTGGTCATCAGGAGGAAAAACTGTGTGGAGTTTGACGCTTCGGATCTGTTGAAGAACTCGCGCTGAACTCCCCGAATTCGGACTAAATTTCCTTATATCTCCTGAATTTCGACCAATCATCGGCCAGTAACTCTTTCATGAGAACGGATGAAAGAGGAATGAATGAGGGGTAACCATTTCCCATCTGAGTGAGATTTTTAACCAGATCAGGGAAAGTCAGAGGATGTTCTCTTCTGTGAAAGGAAGTAGCATCTGTTATCTGGTTTTTCCCCACGTCCAAAACACTGGTTTTTCACAAAAATGAAGTAATATTTTGTGTCGATATTTAAACATATTTAATAAAAATCATTAAATTAGGCCCAGGACCGTTTGGGTCTCACACTTATTTTTAAAATTTTCTTAGTATATCCTCAAATATTTTTAATAAATGAATAATTTAATAAGGAAATAAAGAAGTGACTTGATTTCGGTTGCTTGTTTTATTTGCTTGAAAATTACTATTGGTGGTATGAATTGATGAAATTTCTTTTAACACACCTTCAACTGCAGTTTGAAACTTCTTTGCACCATTGTTGATACAGTAGAGCGTCGTTTATCCGAATCAATTGGGGACTGAGGTTGTTCGGATAACTGATTATGTAAGAAAAACTATATTAACCTATCCCATGTTGAAATTTTTCTCCATTGCGTGTCACTTCATGTTAAATTTACGTCGATGTTAAGCCTAATGTAAACTTTTTAAAATAATAATCGTGGCTATTGTATCATTAAAAATTATTTTTTTATTTTTTACAAACAAAATAGATATATTGAAAAATATAAAAACAAAATAAATTATACTTTAGAAGTAAATCTGTTATTAAAAACGTTCCATTCAGCACGACACAAGTCCTCAGAAAAACATTACACACAAAAGTGTCAGTGCTGCCAGCTAAAACACACACACCAACAAAAAAAATATTGGAGTAGCCCAAGAAAGATTGCAGCGCCACAGCACTAGTGAAAATTTAAATTTGCCAACTGGAATTCTTTCAGATAACTGACGTTTCGGATAAACGACGCTCTACTGTAGTTGCTAAATGTTTTTTTTTCATATGCACAAAACAATGTTACCTTTATGACGAAATTCTTCATGAATCAACTGATTGTGTTTATAACACATAAAGCTTAATCATTTTCGTATATTATGCCCTTATAAACAGACCCAGTGTAGAAACCTGCCCAAGAGAATGAGATGAAGAAAAACAGGAGTGGCAAACCATCTTTTTCTAATGAATTGAACACCAGATAAAGCTAATCAGGTGATAAATATAAGGCAGTTAAGGCATTGACTTATTGCTCTACAGATCTGGAATTGAATCTAGGTAACCCCAGGAATTTTTTTATGATCAGTCTTTCCAAGATATGTCTTGCCAAATCCTTCACCAACAGCCTTGTGGACCTGGCCAAACTCATAATGGATATGATTGAAAAGCTTATGCTTTATGACTTTTGGAAAGGATATACAGTAGAGAGTCAATTATCCGAATCAGTTGGGGACTGGGGTTGTTCGGAAGATTGATGTTTCGGATAACCGATTATGTACGAAAAAATATATTAATTTATCCCATCTTGACATTTTTCTCTGATGCATGTCACTTCGCATTGAATTTTCGTTGATGTTAAGCCTAACGAAGACTATTGTATTGTTAAAAATTATTTTTTTATTTTGTACGAACAAAATAAATATATTGAAAAATATAAAAACAATAAAAAATTATACTTCAGAAGTTAATTTAGTATCAAAAACGTAAAATATTTGAGTAGCCCAAGACATAGCCAAAGATTGCAGCGCCACAGCACTGGCGAAAATTTAAATTTGCCGAGTGGAATTCTTTCAGATGATTGACTTTCGGATAATCGACGCTTTACTGTAATGCCACATAAACAGTAAAAAAAATTTACAATGTATACACATTGCAAATTTTTTTAATGGGAAGGTGATTCTAAATTTCAACATGTCAAATTTGGTTTGAAAGTTCTGTTTGGGAAATTTTGAACAAAGGATACAAAATGTATGGGACACCCAAAAGCTGTTGATGAGAAATTTCAGGAAGAAATTGTTAAAAATTGATGAATAATATACAATATATGTAATCAAACACACCAAAATAAAGCAAAAAGGAACTAAAAACAAATGTAATGCAAGAGTGAGAGCGAAAGACAAATTGGCAACAGATGATGATTAGGCTTTGAGCACAATTTTTCACTGAACTGCACAAAGTAAATTTTTGTTGAATTTAACCTTCAAATTTTGAAGCATTTGAAGCTAAGATTCGTTCGAAGTATGAGGTACCACTATACAAAAGAAGGGTTTGTGCTTTTAAGTGTGAAAAAACCTCATTGTGAGGAAAGTGTATTCAAAATAGTTATTTAAGAATGGAAAAAATTCAATTCAAATGGTTGCTATAGTTACAATAAAGAAATATTCAGCATGTTATAAAATGGAAAACATTATTTAAATTTTTGAATTTTGAAAGGGTGATCAGATATAATTTTTTCAAATCTAATAAAGAATTTACTGAAGAGGAGAGGAGAAAATATATACTCATTGACAAAATAGTTATGCACCAAGAAAGTGATAATGGAATTGAATGAAACTATATGAAAGTGCTAATGTAATGAAGATGGTCATAAGTGATTACAATATTTTAGCAAAGGGACAATTTTCTGAGTAATGGTACAATTTAAAACAACCTTTAGTACATAGTAGAACATCCTTATTTGCGGATTCCTTCAGTGATTTGGTTTGGTGTGGAAGCATATAGGCAACATAGTTATTCTACAACAGATGTACCCACAAATGTCGCAACTGCCATTCCAGATCACTCATACTGGTAGGTAGGCTGAGACTAGGCAGACCAATACAATGAAGACATTTCTGGTATATCCTAGCTTTGTGCAAGTATTATTTTGCTGGGTAATGGCTGTTTGCACCCATGCCATGAAAGGCAATGGATGAGGACATGGATTTTCTTAATACAGTGGTACCTCAGGTTACGAATGCCCCAGCATACGAAATTTTCAGGATACGACATGAAATTCGAACATATTTTTGCTCCACGATACGAACAAAAACTCACCATACGACGTTACTTTTTCATTTGTTTTTCTTACTACAGTTATTTTTTTAATGTATTACTTGGCTTTAATTTGAGTATGTTTTTCGCGTTGGAACGAATTATTTGATTTTACATGTAATCGTATGGGAAAAGATGATCCACCTTACGACATTTTCAAGATACGATCTCAGTTTCGGAACGGATTAATTTCGTATACTGAGGTACCACTGTATTTCACTGTGCTGTCAATGTCCTGTGTACCACTACTAGGTGTGACTGACCCAAGATGGATTTCCAGACTATTATTGCCAATAGTAGACCAGTGTGACATTCAACAGTAATGGTGGCATTGCTAACCAGTGTTTGTGTCGTGGCACCTTTGCAATCTAAGCTGATGTTGGGGTTCTAATGGTGGGTGGTTAGCAGTTGCTACACATGCAAATTTACCTCTGCTAGTTCCATACTAATGGCACAGGATGACTGGCATTTGAAGACTTCCAAATATCCGGTACACTGAAAATTCTAAATACAATGAATATCTGTGATCCTTTCTGCAGGATACTGAGGGTAGCAATTTTAAGGCTCTCTAGTGGCATTACCTGGTGTGCAATTGGATCATAGCTGTAATCACTTACACACCCATCTGACATAAGTTTGTGCCAAGTTTTTCACTAATCAGACAATTCTATCTGGGTACATAACTACTTTTATCAATTAATGATGTAAATTAATTGCTTTGAGGTTTGCTGCTTCTTAATTATAATAAAATATTTTATCAATAATTAAAATAACATTAAAGTTCAGAGTTTTTCTTCTTTCATAATTGTAGTTATATCAAGACATATTCGAAACTCCATTTTTAAAAGCGACGGGCGATTATTATCGTCAGGAGGCCAGTAGATTATTACAAGAATCCGACTGTTCCCAATACATGGAGAAGGTCATTTTAATTATTTTACTCAATTTAATAAATAATTAATTTTGCTACGCTTGTACATTTTACATTTATGTTTTGGAACATAGGTTCTTCAAAGATTAGATGCCGAAAATTTAAGAAGTAGAAAATATCTTCATCCTAGTTCGTATCCTAGAGTCACAAAAGAGTGTGAGCAGTGCATGGTGGCTGATCATTTGCAGTTTTTACATAGTGAATGTAGAGCTATGGTAGAAAAAGAATTAAAGAAAGGTTTGTCTGCTATAAACCATTATGTAATTTTTATATGCTGTATAAATCTGGCCTAAAAGTCAGTTAACTGTGATATATATTAAGAATGGTCAAAGTTATATTAAAGTATTTGGTCACTTCCAATGAATTGCAAATAAGAACTTGTAACTCTTTCAAATAATGCTAAAAATCTTGGTTAACTGACTTTTGGATTGCTCCATATACAAAATGTGTACATTTCTTTACGTTATAAATTTCCATAGATCTGCAAAATATGTACATGCTACTAAAACCAATTCCTAATGGTCTCGGCGCTCTAATACAAGAAGTACAACAACACATTACAAAAATTGGTGTTGATGCGGTCAGCAACTTACGGGGCGATAATGTAGGTCCTATTTTGTTGAACCTTTCGTACAATCATGCAACTTTAATATTATAATAATTTGTTGTTTCAAAATTAGATTCCGCAGCTGTTTGTAGAGTCAATGTTAGAGGTACATAAAAAGTATCATAATATTATTAGAGAAGTATTTCATAGTGATCAACAGTTTGTTGGTGCTTTAGATAAGGTAAGTAAATATTTTGTGCAAACGAAACAAAATTTCAATTTCGTTCTTACTATAACATGTAAAATTAAGAGATATTTTATTTAGAGATGTACTAAATAAAATTTTTCAGGCTTGTGCAGCTGTTATTAATAATAGAGGTAACACCAGACAGCCTTGCAGGTCTCCTGAACTGGTAATGATAGATTTTAACGATGAATACATTAACGTTTTATTTGTTTATTAACAATTTATCTTTTTGGTTTAGTTAGCGAAATATTGCGATTCATTGCTAAAAAAGAGTTCGAAAGGAATATCTGAATCGGAATTAGAAGATAAATTATCCAATTCGATCACAATTTTCAAGTATATAGACGACAAAGATATTTTTCAAAAGGTTGACGTTTTGCTTTACTATTTTTGCTTTTGTACACGAAGTAATAGATTAATAATAATAATAATAATATTTTTGTGAAATTACAGTTTTACGCCAAAATGTTAGCCAAGCGGTTGATCCACGGTCAGTCCACATCTATGGATTCTGAAGAAGCCATGATCAATCGGCTGAAGGTACGTTATCTAATTAGATTGGTATTATTTGGATGTAATTTTGTAAATGCTTTCGACTTTACAGCAAGCTTGTGGTTACGAATTCACCAGCAAACTCCATCGCATGTTTACGGATATGAGCGTCAGTTCAGATCTGAATAACAAGTTTAATGTTTACTTAAAATCAGAAAAAATAGATCTAGGCATTAGTTTCTCAATATATATTCTGCAGGTTTGTATAAGATAAGCGATTAAAGTTAAAAAAATAATAATAAGAAAGAAAAATATATGTGCTCTTTCTTTTAGGCTGGAGCTTGGCCGCTGGGTCAGAGTGCAGTGTCGCCTTTTGCCATACCCCAGGAACTAGAAAGGAGTGTACAAAATGTAAGTTAAATTTACTTTAATATAAAAGAAGGTTCCATACTTTTTTGTTAAAAAGTCAATTTATTTTCATAGTTTGAAGAATTTTACAATAAAAAATTTAATGGAAGGAAGTTAACTTGGCTTCATCATCTATGCAACGGTATGTAATTTTTCAATTTGTTTAATTATAACTAACAGATTATATTACAGATTGTAATGTAGATCAAAAAATTTCTTACAGCCGAATTAAAACTATGTTATTTAAAAAAGCCTTATATCGTAACAATGGGTACTTATCAGATGGCATTAATGCTACTGTACGAGACCGCGGACAGCCTTTCTTTTCATGACTTGCAAGAAAGTACACAGTTGAGCGATGACCAGTTAACAAAACAGCTGCAGAGTCTGGTGGAAGCCAAATTACTACTTGATAGTAACGTAAGTGTCATTATGTAAAATATTGTTGAATTATTAGTGGGGGATGATAGATAATATATATATTATTTTAATTTTAGGACAGCCAAGTAAATAAAAATAGTATTTTAACACTAAATACCAATTACATTAATAAGAGGACAAAATTCAGAATTACTGCTGTCATGCAAAAGGAGACTGCGCAGGTGAGTTTGTAATATATAGTACTGACAAGATGAAACAGAGCCGACTTCATCAAATTACGCAAAATTTCATTTCAGCAAGAGGTAGATCAAACCCACAGTGCCGTTGACGAAGACAGAAAACTGTATCTTCAAGCTGCCGTAGTGAGAATCATGAAAGCGAGGAAGATCCTTCGTCACAACACGCTCATCGAAGAAGTAAGTGGTTTCGTAACCATTTCATTTGGCGGTCAATGCGAGTAAGTACATGACATTGTGATTCTTTCAGGTGATAAACCAGGCGAAGAACAGATTTGTACCGAGCGTCCCGATGATCAAAAAATGCATCGAGGCCCTCATCGACAAACAGTACCTAGAAAGGACACCAAATTCCGCCGACGAGTACAGTTACGTCGCTTGAGTATTTCGTTACATAGTTAAATTCCGTAGCTTTCGAAATTGCATTACATCATCATCTGAGTTTTAATTTGATGCATAAAAAATTAAAACCGTTTTAATCTTTTGGCTCCGTATCTACAGTTCGAGTACACTAATTGAGAAGGATTATAAAAAAACAAAAAAAAAATGCTCAAATTGATTTTAAACTGTTTGATATTTCCAAAACTGATGTATATAAATTCTGTGCATATTGGTTGTGATTAAACACGTTCTCGCTTTACAAACGACAAAATTATCTATTGTTCTATCATAGCCACTTACTGAAGAAAGGAACATTGTTAAACGCTCCTAGATTGCTCTGCTTTAACTTCCGCTTGTACATTTTCCGAAAGCAATTCAGATTTCGAGTGAAAATTAAAAATATTCACTTTCCTTTTTTTTTTTTCTTACAAATACACTCATTTGAAAGAAAATGGAAAAAGAAAAAAAATTTGTTACATACTGTTAGAACTGTCAATAAAATTTTATATTATTGTAATATAGTAAAGAAATTATATGAAGAAGAAAATTAATTTAAAGTTTTGTCTGCTGTATTTGAAAATACGTTATTATTATAAATATATATATATATATATACTTTTTTTTTTTGTTTATATACTAATAATATATTAAAACAGTTAATTGAACATGTAATATTCTGTAAAAACTATCTGCAGTTTAATTTATGTCTTTTCTTAGCACATGAATTAAATTGGTGGTTGAGCAAACAATTTAAAAAAAAAAATAAAAGGGTGAAGCACACACGCTGCCTACAAAAACAGATTTTTGATTGCATTGTAGATTTAAGTGAAGTTCTGTTTGGTATATCCATTAATGCAACAATTGCAGCAACATCTAAGAGAATGTTATGCTTGGTGTCACATTTAAAAACTTGTAGCTAATTTGTTTTAATTTATTTTTCTCATTTATTTTGCTTTTCTTTTTGTTGTTGCAAGAAAGAACAGTAAATGAATTTTTATGAAAATGTCTGTTATGTTTAAATTAGAGGATAGTTGTATCCGTTTGATATAAAAAATGTGATTACGGATTTATGATTTAAGGTGTATATTATTAATTTTTACTGTTTGTTTTGGCTGAATTTCACCAGAATTAAATCTGTGTTGGAGATGTTTGGAATGCTCCACGACTTCCTTAAAATGTGAAACGAAGAGAAGATGGTGGGGATCACTAGAAGCAGAAAAAACAGCGAGGAAGTGATCAGAACGAATGTCATTTTGAAAAATGAGGTGAAGATCATGGAAGGACCCAATCCCACAATGGCCGCAGACAGCATAACGGGTATTGCACTCTTTAGAATGGGCACGGTAGTGTTACTTAGTCGATTGACGAACGACGAATGCTCTTCGTCGGATATTGTGCAGTAAGTGCAAGTGATGTATACGGAGTAGCGAATTACCAGACATATGACGAAGAGGAGATTGATTACGGTGGCACTGTTTAGATTGACACTCCATAACGATAAATACGCAACACTTCCGTTGATGACGAACATTAAGCAGGAAGTCGACGCCAGCGAAAAGAGCATTCTTCCGGATAGCATAAACGTCATCAGGAAGTACACCGTGAGGCACACGCCGAGAAGATTAAGAGAAGTGTTTGCCAGTGTTAAGAGCCTTTCCGTGTGAGGGAATCCGTAACTGTAAATTACAACGGGGTAAGGAGAACTATCGGCTATTTGTCGCAGCTCTCTTGTCATTTCTTTTTCGCCTTCGCTCAGTGTGACGTCTGCCGCTTGCAAAACAAATCTAGCGGCTACGATGTCACTTCCGTCTTTGCTGAATTTGACGTCGTCGTGGAATATTTCTGTAATTGGAAGGCGAAGAAAGACGTCTTTCAAACCGATATTGAAATCCTTTTTATTTTTAATGTTTAAACCTTGTATCAAAGAAGAGGTCCTGTTGTCGTTCAGGAACGTCATATAATACTTCAACCACGATTCTGTCAGTACGTTGTCACCGATGTAGCGACATTTCTCCATTCGGTGGATGATGCTCTCTACTTGCGACCTCACCGACGAGTTGGAATAATCCAGTGTTGTGTTAATGACCATCTGTACTCTGTACGGATACCTACTGTAATAGAAATTATTCTGTTTGACAAACTGACCACCATAGGAATCGTAGGACACAAAATTTGTCAATTCTGCGCCGATTTTGATGTTGGTCGAGATGCTCCAAGCAGAAATTGCTATGTAACCCAGTGTAACAATTATAATTGTCAGTTTAAATAATTGACTGTGGAATATAATCAAGAGGGTCGACGTAAAGTTTGTACTGTTATTCATATCCTTTTTTATGGTCTTTGTACTGTTATTTGTCGAACATTCTTTAGAACTCGACTGCACTTCAGGAATGTTTGCTGTAAATATCGAAAAATTACTTGTATGTTTGGATTTTGTCAACCGGTTAGAATGCCACTTACCTTTTGTTTTGCAACACGTCAGATAATGAAATCCTTTAACTTCTGCTTTATCGGATAACACAAGAATGGCTCCATTGAAAGTTACACTATATATAAAAGTAAATACGATGCATATACTGCTATATAAACAAAATATTTTCAAAGCAGGGAAATGGACGAAACACAAGGAAACCATATAAAATAAAACATCGATAATTGTCGAAATTAGAATGGAAGGGAGCGTAGTAGAGTACGTTTCACCCATGTGTTCTTCTATAGTCTTGCGTGGATCCTTTATTTTTCTAAAAATTAGCTGATACGTATCGTCTATAGTTAAAGCTGGTAAAGAAAAAAGTTTAAAAAAATTAATCTTAATTTTGTTATGATTTATTTTTGCAGATTTATAGGAAGTTTTCCTACTTCTTAATCCAGAGTTATTTATAAATTATCCTATAACTTCACAAGTGGGTGTCTAACGTAACATTTTATATTAATAGAATACGAAACAATAGCTTTCTAAATTGCCTAGAAAAATGTATAAAATTGAGCATTTTTAAGCTATCTCTTGTTTTTATCCGTGATAAATGACCATGAAAATTTTTCGAATGATAAAATAACATTACCATTTTATTTCTAAATTATTATTTATAGTCTAGACACTTCAAAATGTTTTAAAGTTACTAAATATGTAAGTTTTCGTAATTTGTAGAGAGTTTGCTGTATAAAAACAGCAACCATCCGAACGTGTAAAAAGTTTTATTGTGTATACTCGGAAGTATCCTGGCATAAATTTGGAGGAGGAAAAATTTGAAGATACAGTTTTGAGCGTACTTTTATAACAATTGAACATAATTAGGCCGTCTATTTTTGATTTATCTAACTAGATTGTGTATATATGAACGAAAAATTATAATTTTTGATTTAATTATACTTACCCAGCACAATAAAAGATAACATGAAATTAGTAGCGATAAAATCCACTCCACAGTATCCAAGCAAACCGAAAGCAGATACAATCGTTAAGCAGGATGAAACTACACAGCTTAATCCTAACCAAGGTCTTTTTGAGAGGAAACAAAAGACGAAACAACAGATAGACATTATAATTAAGGCCAGACCCATCCATAATCTTCCTTGTTGAGATATCTCCTGTAATTCCGTATCGACTGTCTGCGATGTGTACCTATATACGATGATTTCTTCGAAAACTTCTTGTTCCAGCCTGCGTAAGAAAGCCACTTCCCAAAGTTCGTTAGCTTTTTTCTCTTTATCCGAAAGATAGTATAGCAATCTAATAGATTTAGCAGATAAAACATTTCCTTTACTGTCGGTTTCTACTCCACCCAAATTTACAGCATAGTATGTGAAGCGATAAGTAGCTAGATTTATTGTTAGGGGGTATATAAATTTATATTTACCCTCTTCTATTTGTTTTATTCGTTTAGAAAGTGACAGTACGTTGTTTACGTAGCACCGGCGATTTCTTCGTGCGCATAACTGAGAATAAGACATGGGCAAACCTTGATGATAAACTGTGACGTTTTTTACTACTCGATCGACCTTTAACACGTCTTTAAACGTCTTCTCCCGCAGCATGGATCCACCGTCTTTGGCCACCAAAATGACATATCCGCATTGAATTTCTCGTGTGACTCTCCCGGGATCGAAATTGGTGGACAGATTCATCGGAAACAGTTCTTCTACAATACTCCTTTCTGTTATAAATCTACCATTCGTGGGAGTGTAGAGATAAAGCGTGGATATAATGTCATTTAGCATCACTAATCCGGGTGCTAGAAAGGCTGTAGTGATGATAGGAAGGAGGAGGAAGCAGTAAGGGTTCCTCCCAATTGCATATCCCAATTTTCCACATCCTTTAGTAATGTGAAGAGCAAACCAGTCTGAAGCCATGTGCAATACCTAGTCAGAAAAGAGAAAATAAAATATACCACTATAATTTTCTATCCTTAAATTGCACGCTGCTTTACGTCATGCGCGCGAGTAAAGCATATTCACACCCTCCTTAAATATAATTTTTTTTCTAAACTTCATTCTACTTTTACGTGTATGTAAAAACTTGCTAACAGGTGAAAGCATCCAATAAGGAAGTTGGATTTAGTGGAAATTATGTCAAGAGGTCAAACTATTATGATCTTCATCCCATACCATTCTATAGATTTTACTAGTTTATGAACTGTAGTTAATAAAGCAGCTTTAATTTGATATTGTGTTATAAACTTTTAATATTCTAGAGCATCGGTATGTGCGTGGAATTTTTTATGAACCCGTAAAAACTAGTTAATCGATTCTTATCATTAAGGCTTGTAATTATCGATGCAAACATTAATATAGATAATTTAAACATTAGACGATATTACACATTCTATTTAAAGCAATATCAATTTGTTTTTTCTTCCTGTTTATCGGAAGAGATGATTCTGTGAATAAATTAAGGATGTGAATCTATGCTAATTACTTCATGCGGAAGTTGTTTATTACTCCATTGGATAATTAAACAGAAAAATAATTTACTTACTTGTATTCTTTTATTTCTTCAAATAGGCAAGTGAATAGTTCATTTCAACTTTTAAAATAATCGAAACATCTGTAATATTACAAAAAAAATTATATTAAACATTCTATAAAATTTAAATACGACCTACTCAAATACATAGGAAATAGGCTACATCGTCAGTTCGTTTCCTATTCTTCTGTGAAGTGAAGCTACACAAAACTGGTATCTAGACGGCTGGTTAAATCTATTCTAATCGCAAATATACCTCTAGGTACATGTACACTTAAATATCATAAGCTAAGAAAAGTAGTAAAAAGAAACCTGTTCTGTTTGAAGAAGTTTAAAAATAGCGCCATTTTCGAATATTGCCTTAATGTTTGTATTGAACTGTTTAATCTTTTTATTATCTAATTAACTGACTGTTTGTTTACTAATTAACCCACTTAAATACGTCAATATTTTTACATGGATATTGGAAGAATTTAATCGAAAATATAGTACAAGTTTTTAATAATAATATCTATTCATTATTCTAATTTATTCCGCTTATCATGCTCCAGATAAAAACAGAAAAACCGAGAGAGAGAGAGTTTATTGGAATTGTTGCCTAAGGAAAAACATATAATTTTTTTATGTAGTTAATTAACCATTTTCTACAGAATAATACTTTTGATTTCTGCAATCTTTCACTGAAAATATGCAGGAATAAAAACTAAGAAGAATGTCGCTTTCAGTTCTGTTAGGCCATTTTTATACAGCAAATGCCGGAAGGTAAAAAAATGTAGAACAACGGGTAAAGACTAGGATTTTAATAAGGATAACACGTGAAATGGAGGATAATACTTGTTTCTTATTCTTTAACTATATATATAAATATATATATATAAGAACATGTAGTAGCTTAACAGAGATTTTTTAAATAAATTATAATGTAATTTTAATTTTAAAAGCGCTTTCAAAAATTATAAGGAAGTAATTCATTAGGAATCATTGAGAAATGTTGAAGTACAGTGATAGACATCTTATATATTTTCTAGTGTTTAAATATTAAAACAGCAATTTTTAATTGAATTATTATTATTAGTTTTAAAGAAGTTTTTAAAACGAAATTTATGAGCTTCTAAAGTTATATATTAAATAATTTACTGATGGCCAGTTACAGCTCGATTTAAAATTAGACATACTATAAGAGACTTTGCAGGGCATTTACAGTTCAAGCAGTTTCCTTATAGTGTTTATATTTATTTATTGTTTTTTTTCAATATTTAATCATTTATTTTATGTAATAGGAAATGTAGAATGCTTACAACTTATGTAAATTTTACAATATTTATAACTGCAACTTAGGTAAAAAAATCAAGATTAATATATTAGAAAGATTTAAAGGCTTGGTAATCATTTTTGTTTATGTTAAAAATGAAATATATTTATAAAAAGTGTTACACACTTCACTTAATTATAAAAATAAAACTCTCTTAAGTGCATAAAGATTGCTATAGATAAATAAAATTGATTTTGATAGTGACAATAGCTTATATAACCATTCCGAAACACTAAGTTTAAAGGTTAATATATTTTTATTTATTAATATGTTGAAAATTATAATAAAACATGATAATTTGTTAATAAAATTTTAATTTTTATAAATGAAAATAAAAATAAACTTCTCTATATTTTATTATTTCCAATAAATGACGTCGGAGATAAACGTTTATCTGTGTTATGTTTAAAGAATATCAGACTTTGCTCTATCAGTTTTCGTGTCTCAGTTACAATATAGGCCTACGTTAATGAGAGAAGACAAGATGTAAGTTGAATTTCTCTTGATTTTGACCTTAAAATTAAATTATGCCATTTATAACTCGATTAATATAAAATTATCATAAGATGTTTGAGATAATCACGTGTCACATTTAAGTACTTTTTCTTATTTTTTAAATATATAAAGTGATTATATATATATTTAATATACGAAGTATTTTTATTAATGTAAGAAAGTTTGACACGTGATAACGCTTCCTCATTACTTCAAAGTTTAACTGACATAAATTAATATCCTATTTTTACAAATGTAAAGGATGACGCACGTTACACTTCGCAAAAAGAATATAGAATTTTTATTTTAGAAACTGCTTAACTGTAAAATATGAAATATTTTCAGGTGTAAATGGGATATAGGATCCAATATGTTAGCCAAGAAGACTTCGAGTTTTTATCAAATTTTAGGAAGACGGATAGCCAAAAGTCCAGGATATTTTATCATCGTTCCTATATTTGCAGCGGCTATTTTGTCGACGTCGATTCCTTCAGCTAATTTCATTAGCAATCCTGACTATCTCTACACTGTGATCAATTCTGTATCTAGGATGAATAAGGATTTCATAGAAAGGACGTTTGTACAAAACAAATCTGAGGACTACGATATCAGGAGGTCCACTAATGTTCCTAGAGGAGTATGGTTGATAATTACCTCACCCGAAGAAGAAACGGTGTTAAAAAAGCACATTTTTAGAGATATATCGGTGATAGATAAGTTAGTTCAGAAAGTATGGATTAAATGGGCTAAGAAGAAGTGGAATTATGATTCCTTGTGCGCCAAATACAGGAGGAAGTGTTACAAGAATACCATATTAGATCTTTTACCGAGAATGAAAGCTATAGAGGATGGTCGGAGGATGCTGAGATATCCTATCGAATCAGCTGATATTATTACAGGTTTATATTTAGGTGGAGTAACTGTCAATGCTAGCTTCATTACCCGTGCCAAAGCTGTGTTGCTTTATTATTTCCTAAATACCACTAATCCCAATGAGACTGCGAAGATAGCTCTATGGGAGGAAGAAGTCATGAATATGTTATCTTCTAAAACATTTACTAATATAACAGTGAGAAGAGTGTCTACGTCGTCATTTGAGAAAGAATTACACGTGGTGATTAAAGAAGTTTTGATGCTTTGCATTCCTTTAGTGGCTATTATGATTACTTTAGCGGTATTGACTTCTTTCACAGCAAATTTTCGAAAAAGTTTACCATTTTGTGCAGCATTAGGATGCCTTTCTTCTAGTTTAGCTGTTGTTACGGCTTTCGGATTAATCATTTACTGTTCGGGAGAGATAACGGACGTTTGTCTGTCTGTACCATTTTTAACTTTAGGTGAGTATTTATTATACCATAACTCGTTATTATTTTTATTGTAATAATAACTCATTTCAGGTGTTGGCATGGATGATACCTTTGTTATGTTGGCAGCTTGGAGGAGGACCGATCCAAATAAGAGCGTGAAGGAAAGATTAGAAGAAACGTATTCCGATTCGGCTGTTTCGATTACTATTACTTCATTAACCAATTTTACTACCTTTTGTATTGGACTGTTTGCCTCGTACAATGCAATTCGACTCTTCTGTTTATACGCTGCTATTTCTGTTTTATTCACTTATATCTACCAGTCTACGTTTTTTGGTGCCTGTCTCGCCTTGAACGCTTATTACGATTGTTATTGCGTCATGGAAACTTATAAGCGCAACAGACGTAAGTAATATACTTGGTTATAATCTCATTTACTATTCTAAAAAGATTAATAAGGAGAAATTTCTCTTATTTAAGGACAAGAGAACGGATATGTTCCGAAAAGTATCGAGAAAAGAGAACACGTCGTGGCATTATGGTTTCGAGATAAATTTGCCTTATGCCTTATCAACAAAAGAGCAAAAGTGTTTTTACTGTTTTCCTACTTTATATATTTCGGATTTGTCATCTGGGGTTGTACTAAAATACAAAAATATGTGGATGATACGAATTGTTTGCCTGACGATTCGTATGTAACTAAATTCTACAACGATTACAACAAGCATTTTCAAAAATATCGTGAAACAGTACAGTTAGTGATTAACAAACCAATCAATTATGCCGATGAAAATGTACAAAAGGATATAGAAAAAATGCTAACAGATTTGGAATCTTCTGAGTATTTTGCCGAATATATGTTTACGGAATCATGGTTAAGATCATATTTAAATTTTTTAAAGATAACAAAACATATTTTAATGATTCGTGGATATGATGTGAGTAATAAAGAAGATTTCATAAAAATCTTACGTGAAATTTTCTTGCCTATACCCGAATGGAATCACTTTTCCCAAGATATTGTATTCAGTAGTAATTACACAGAGATCACAGCTAGTAGGTTTCTCTTGCAGACTGAATTAACTGGAAATAGTCCGATGGAAGGTAAAATGGTGGAAAAAATTAGAGACGTAACGGCAGCATCTAACATATCTAGTTTCGCATTCGGTCCGAAATTCGTTCATCATGAGCAATATTTGACTATAGCTGAAACCACACTTCGTACTTTATTAATTACAGCAGTTGTTGTGATTTTTATATTTTTCATTTTTCTGCCCAACATAGCGTGTGTCTTATCTGTCGGTCTTCTAATAATATCCATAGAAGTGGGTTCCATAGGATTAATGTCATTTTGGGGGGTTAAATTGGATGGACTGTGTATGTTGAATCTGATGCTATGTATCGGTTACAGTATCGATTACGCTGCACATATGACACATTTTTATGTATATTCTAAAGAAGAAACTATCAAAGGACGTTTAAGAGATTCCATTTATTCAGCGGGCTTACCAATTCTTCAATGTAGCATCTCTACTTTGGCAGGCGTTATTTTATTAATGTTTGCTCCAGCTCAAATGTTTTCAACGTTTGTCAAGTTGGTGATTTTAGTGATTACCCTTTCCACTATTCACAGTTTGTTAATATTGCCTCTACTATTTTCTTTTCAAGGGTGTAGAAGAAAAAGTATACCTGTAGCAGATATTTAATACTGATAATTTAAGATAAAATTTTGTAAATAAAATTATTCATTTTAATAGACTTATAGTATCATAGTATATTTATTATTCTTTTCCTGTATTTTATAACATCAAAATAAATTTAACTGAAATATATTAATTCTCATTTTAACATACTGAAAATGTATTCGGTCTTAGAAGATAATCTAGAACGATTGTTTATGAATAGATCTAATCTGTAAAGATAAAGATGAGTATGCATGTGACAGAAATTAGTTAAACAGTCGATTAAAGTTCATAAAGTTCATGAATAAAGAATAATGGAAAGAGTACTTGGAAACAGCATAATTAACGAATATAGGAAAAACGGAGCAATTTGTCTTAGAAGGATTTTTGATCAAAAATGGATAGATAAAGTAAAATCTGGCATAGAAAAAAATCTTCTAGAGTCAAGCAAATTTTCAGAAAGTTTAAAAGAAGAAGGGGATCCTGGAATTTATTTTGATGACTACTGTAACTGGAGGAAGATTCCCGAATTTGAAGATTATGTTTTTAATTCACCTGCTGCAGAAATTGCTGGGATTTTGATGGAATCACAGGTATGATTAAAATAATATAATTTTTGTATTTTTTTTTAATTATTATAATATTTTAAGGTATTATATTATATTAATTGATATAAAAGATAATGAATAGTCTGTAATATTAAATAAACCAAGCGGCCAGATTATTGCTTATACGTTTGTTATAATGAATACATCGAGATAGATATCCTAAGTGTAGTTAGAAGTATTAAATTTAGTACATTAATTAAGAAAAATATTTTGATGTATTATATAACGATTCAGAATAAAATTTTAAATTCATTTATTTCTGTAGTTTTTAAAATATATTAGTGATTCTATTTAATAAAATTTTAACGCTAGTTTATGGACGAATATTTTGTATTTTAAGAATCATCACATTGTATTAATGTTCGTTCGAGGAAATATAAGATTCAATTTAATGATAAGAAAATAATCACATATATATGTCTTATACGTATTCATAATAAATATTTAAATATGAAATAAAAACATAATAAATTTTTATATTGATTATTGATTTCATCTATGGCAGTGCCTTCTAAATGATATTTTAAGAGAATATTGTTCATTAAAAATTTAAATATTAAGTAGCATTTACTATTTAAAAACTTCGAGTTGAGTGAGCGTAAATAATAATCAAATTGCTTAATGTTATGAAGTATAAAGGTATTTTATGAGAAGTTTTTCCTCTTTATTCAGACATTCGTTACTTTTTAAAGTCGTTTTTCCTTATGTCAAGAAATTAAATATCATTTCTAAAGTATTCTATACAAACTGAAAAAAGCTTACCAAACTGGTATTAAATTTTCATTTCCACTGCAACTTTTATCAATATAACCATTAGATTTACGTAGAGATTTTGTATTTAAAAACCTTTTCCTGTTAAAATTCTATTATTGATGAACTGGAATAAAAAGAGATTATTTCTATAAAAATATTTAGTTATGTTTTAGTTTTATTTATTTAGTTAAACATGCAAGAAAAGAGTTAATTTTTAAATATTTCAATACATTTAACATCAATTTAATATTATGATTAAAAAAATAAATAAATTTTTATGGTATATTTCTTTACGGACATATTTTTCAAAAATTATGATATATATATATATATATAAATGCTGATTATAGAATTCATAATGGTTAAATTATCTGCAGCCAAAACTTGAATCTTCAGATTGGTATCAGCACTATTTCCTATCTTGAGTTTAATGACCTATTTTCATGCAAACGTAAACAAGCTGTACTTTCAATATATGTTTAATCTTCTTCTGAAATACAGTCATATTTAAAAATTGATAAATAATTTTGTAAATTCAAATATATATAGAGCAAATAGATATTTAAACAGTTAAATGTCATCAGAATAAGGAAAATTTGAATTTTTCTATTAGATAAGTCGCACTGTTAATCATGTGAAAATTATGATAAATTATTTCTAAATATTTATTGAATTATAAGACATTTAGATTTTTAAATATTAATTAATTAATATATAGTATGCAGCATTTTATCATGAGCACGTGCTTGTAAAAGAACCAGGAGCATTTAAAAAAACTCCATGGCATCATGATCAGTCATATTATCCAATTGATGGTTTTAAGGTAAGTTTACATTGACTCGTTTAACATGTAAGTCTTTTTTGTAAGCATTTTTAGTGTAATTTGAAATAAATTTCAGGTTTGTTCGATATGGATGCCAGTAGATCCCGTAGCTAAAATTAATAGTCTTCAATTAGTGGCAGGTTCTCACCTTTGGAAAGAATGGTTCTATCCTAGAAAGTTTGCTACTAGCTTGAATTATATCATAGAGAGTGCGGGTGACGATAAAATATATAGAGACGTACCAGATATCGAATCTAATCGAAATGATTACGAAATTTTATCTTGGGATGTAGAGGTTGTAAAAATTAAAAAAAATATATAGGTCTAGTTTTTTTATATTTATTGTTATTCATTAAAGTATTACATTATAGCCTGGAGATTGTATAGTGTTTCATATGAAAACACTCCATGGTGCACCTGGCAATAGTTCCGAAAATATAAAAAGAAGAGTTTTATCTACGAGATGGCTAGGTAAATTTTCCCTCCATTTTGAGTTGAAAAGTTTGATAATGTTTTAAATTTAGTTTTTCTATACTGTAGGTGATGATGCAACAATGGCTGCTCGACCGTGGAAAGTATCGCCGCCCATTTATGGTAATTTAAATATAGGAGATCGTGCAGTCTCTGAAGAATTTCCCATCATATGGACTCGACAGTAGTACTACTGTATGTTTAATTATTAAAACATATAACAAAAATAAATAATACGGAAATTAAAACAAAGAGAGAAGATCAGCAATTCTTTTATGACCTATCAAAGAGATTAATTATAGATATCATAAATATGTCTTGTTAAAATATTAAATAATTTAAGTTAATTTACCTTGCGCAATCGCTGATTGTATTGGAAGAATTCCCGCTTTGTTTTTGATACTAGGAAGTGCACCTATATAAAATTAATCAGATGAAAAATAAAATTGAATACTATATAATATAGAAGTATACGATAATGTTTTAAATAATTTTCAATAAATCAATAATACCATATTTTAGCAGTTTTGATGTTACTTTAAAATTGCCTTTGGCTGCAGCTAAATGCAAAGGTGTGTAACCATATTTATTAGGGAAATTAATGTCACAGCCTATAAAGGATAAAATCATTCCTTACTCGTTAACATGTAAAATAATAAAAAAAAAATAAATGAAACCATAAAAAGTTTTACCGGCTTTAATTAATGTGTCAAAAGCATCTAAATCATTGCCATAAGTAAGATAAGCATATGTGAATAAATATAAAGGAGAATCACCATAGCTATTAGTAGTATTGATATTTGCACCTATAAGTAAAAGAAAAATATTTATATTTGTTTATTATTGTTTAGCAACCAAACTCCTACCTCTAGTTAACATAAATTCAATCAAATCACGATCTCCGCTGAAACATGCAGAATGAAAAATACATATAAAAATAAATTTTATACATATGGTATGATATAAAATTAAATTAAAACGGCATTTCTTCAAAAGAAAAATATATATATATATAACGTCAAAGTACCAAGAAAAGATTGAATTCATCTTCGCAGGTTGAATAGTTTACATCGTAGTTATTTTCTCTGATCAATTTTATGCATTTTTTTCTTCTTTCTGGAATATAGGATGTCTGAAATTGTCATTAACAGGATCTATAAGATTATTTGGTAAAATGTATACTTAAATTAGTATATTAGAGTGGCCAAATACCTTGGCCAAAATGCTAACTTCATAAGGAATATGTTTATTTTGAAGACTTGGTAAATTTTCTGTTTAACAAACATGCATAGATTAACATGTAGAGAAAGTATATTATTATTATTAATTCATTTAAACTATAATGAATTAATCATAATTATTTAATAAAATATTTCGACTAAATAATTCATTATAAAGTTTTAATAAGAAATAAGAAATGTATAACTTACTTTTAAATTTTATCCGGTTAGTGATGTATATAATTAAAATAAGTATTAGTAAAATGTATCCAACTATATCTTTTACTTTTAAGTGATCCTCTTCAATGTCCATCTTTGAAAAGACATGCAAAAAAACAATATTTTCTCCCTTATAATTTTCATAAGGAAAAAAAAATCTATATAAATGAAATGGAAGTATGCTAATTGATGGTAAGTACAGTACATATTTACAAAAATGTGAAAATATTAGGGGAGACCGGGGCAAGATCGGCATGTTAAGCTTTACTTAAATTTTGTGTAATAAATACTGCTGTAAACTGAAAAAAAAGCTTTGCATATTGTCTATTGGAATGTTACCTTACTATAGAACTGGTTAAAATCAGTTTGGAAATAAAAATAATTAAAATAATTACAACTTTACAAGAAGAGAGAAATTGACGAAGTTGCCCCGGGTATAGGGGCAAGATCGGCAACTTCTCTCTTTTTGTAAAGTTGTAATTATTTTAATTATTTTTATTAAAGTTGCCCCTGGTATAGGGGCAACAGTAATGGGGCAAGATAGGCACGTATATAAAATTATGTTATTAACAATGTATAAGTTGGAATTCACTATTAAAACAAAGAAATACAAATCCAACACCCATTTAATATTATTACAACGAAATGCAAGTTCAAAGACATATATACATGAATAACAAATGCAAACATGTTTTCATTTATCATCTGTTTGATTTTTATCCTTTGCTTCTAATGTGGCTTTATGTTGCCGATCTTACCCCGCTAGTCATGATTTCGAAACATTAAGTACAACCCTGAGAACAGAATGCCAAGCCACGATCTGGCCACGTGAATAAGTTGAAGTTACATCCTTCTAACAGGAAAAGTAACTTTCGTTATCATGGAATTATAACAAAACCTGCCAATTCAATATAAATGGAAAAAAAATATTATATGGAATTGAACGAAAATGAAAATTTGCTTGATAATTCAACTACGCTTGTTGGAGAAAAATAAAAACACTACACTCAACAAGCCACCAATGAAACTCAACTGCCTAACCTATAACCAAAGTCTCCTTTTAATTTGTTTTTTTAAAAAAGCGCTTGACAAACTTGCCCCGCATGCCGAAGTTGCCCCGGTCTCCCCTATATATAAAAGAGACTTTTTTGTTAAATTTGTTTACATCTGAAGAGAAAAGAAATTGAAAATTTATTTTAAAAATATTTAAAATTTTAATAAACATAACAACAATTAAATTTATAAAAGCGTTTATATAGTAGACCTTTAGATTAAACATTACTTTTTAAAATTGTATAAAAATTAAATACTGTACAGAAAAAATTTGTAACGGTTTATTGAAAATTTGACTGATTATAAAAGTTGTGAAATAATAATTTAATATAGTAGTTTTCAATTTAAATATTTAAAATATGGTAGCTGATAAATCTTTATTCATTATATAAACTAAATTAATCAAATTTGTATAAGAGAATATATTAGTCCTTACATGGAACTGTACAAACGTAAATTGGTTCGAAATGTTTAGGAAATCAGAAATTCCAAAGAAAAAATAAGAAAATAAAATAGGAACATATAACAGATATATGTATATATTGATATATAATCTGTTTGTTCGGGATTCTGTTATAAACAGTCATTTACATAAACATTTATCTCGAATACATTGCTTGTATATTATTATAAAAATATTTCGAATATTTACATGTTTTAACGTTTTAATAAATGTTAATTCACAATTTATAATTTTTTCATCTCTCTGTACGGTTTATTAATCAAAAAGAAATCTATGTTTAGAGTATGTTTAGATTAATTTGGAGACTCACACTAAGCAGAACCATCAGCAGTGAATCAGTGTTTAATTTTGAAACTATTTAGAATAATAATTATAATAATATAGTAGAGACTAGTTTAAAAATGTTGTATTTCCTCTTAAGTGATGCTCATTTTTTCCTTTTAATTAACGTGTATTTTAATTATTTATTCAGCAGTTTTGATGTTTATAATCAACTATGTAATGTTTCTATCTAATTTAATTTAATTATTTTATGAAAACGGCAAGAATTTGTACCTCTAAACAAAATAATTTCAATAATTAAAGATTTGCATGCGACTTGTTCTCACATACAAAATCAGCAATCGATGAACTTGAGAAATAAACGATCAATTAAACATAACTCTTATAAAGATAAATATAAACTTTCAAATAAAAATAAACCTATTCTATCAGAAAATAAAGACATTTTTATGTGCTTTTATAAACAGCAATAAAGTTTTAAAAAATCCGTTTTTGTTTATTTATATAAAGTTGTCAAACTACCACAAATTAAATTTAATAAAAGAATAATTTAAAGTGCTTATATAAAACTATAGAAATGTAAATTAATTCGAAATGTTTAGGCAATCAGAAATTTCGAAGAAATCATATTTATATATTATATTTACTCAACTTGATACGCTGTAATTACACACACAAAGTTAAATTATCATCAACATTCGATAAGTGTTCTAACGAATGAAGCATTTCATTTATTTTTCAGTATAATAGATTTGAATTTATAAATAATTTAATAGTGTCATTTATATAAAGACACAAATATACTAGACCAAGAGTGACGAACTTAAGGCAAGCGCGCCCAAAGTGGCACATCTCATTGGGGCAAAGAGCTATAAAAGTTGATCAAAGATCAAACAATAAAAAAGTCATATATCAATATATAGTCATAGTGACAACAGAAATAGTCAATATTCTTATTTTGAGCGTTAATGCAGGTACAAAAAAGTTCTCCATTTCTGCACTAGACAGACTCTTACTTATCCGGCCATTTTCTCGCAGATATGTGCCAGATTAGCGAGAATGCCGGATAACTGGCATTGTATAGGATATTGTATAATGTGAGTATTTGTATTATGTTTATTATTAATATTAACTCTCAGCAACCAGAAATTATATTTATCCGACAATCTTTACGAGTGTCGGTTAACTGAGAGTCCAGTGTACAATGTGAGAGATGCCGGATTAACAAGATTATAGTGTATATTTACATTTATATGTTTATAACTTAAATAAATTTATTGAAATGTATTTTGAGATAATAAATATATAAAAATAATAAAATTATCTGACTTATTAAACAATTTCTGATTTTATTTTATAATTTTCCATTCATTGTTATCATTCTCCTTCCAAAAAAGCAGACGACTATTAATCTTCATTTCGCCACCTGCCGAGTAAAAGTGTTAATTTGTTTTATTTAAAACTTAATTTAATACGAAACTTATCGATGTAATGATCAAAAATTAATTATTTAATTTTGTGCCGTTATTATGAATATATAATATATTTATATGAGCTCAACACGAGCGAAAGTTTACATCGTAAATTATGGAAGTCCGGATCGTCCGGATCTGATTCGAATCTGGATTCCTCGAGATACTACAATATTTATTGTCAGTAGCTCGTTAACTATGGGCAAAAAAAGAAAATTTTCTGGAGCACTCACCAGCAATCTTTTATAAATTCATTACTCTAGTAAGAACATCTGAATTTAAATTTGGTGCCATATCCAAGGACTTTAAATTCACTTAGCATTCAAAACTTGCGAATTTTGAAAAAAAAAAAAAAAAAAAAAAATTTGCGCATNCCGGGAATCACGAAGCTATAACGCGCCACTCTTTATTGCATGATTATCCTGCCGATTTTAAAAGTTTATATAAGAGAAACTCTTAAAATGTGTAAAATTTGAAGCTGAAGAACAAATATGTATATATTAATATTTAATTAAAAATTTATTCGATATAAATTTATTAATTTTTAAATAAATCATAATTATATGTTATAGTAACGCGCAAGAAAAGTAAAAAAAATTTTTAATAATGGTATTCAATTCAAGATGATATTGATTTAATTATTTTAAAAAGCAATATTTTATTTCCTTGGCTTTGTTTTTCTTAAATTAATGTAAAATACTTTCCAAATGATTTTTAAATATCTAGCACAGAGTGAAATACTAATCCATTTATTAATCTTATACTAGTGTAATTTGAAGGCGGGTTTTTAGGTCATCGTACTGAAGTCGTTTGATAAATAATATTATTGATCGAATATCGAATGTTATTAGAAACAAAATAATCCTAGCTGAAAGATTAAAGCTGTTATATTGTTTACGTTTTTGTTACATATTTTGTTTTATACTGTATTTGAAAGAATGTACACATTTGATTTCTAATTTATTCTGAATGAAGGCCTAATTACGTTATTTTGCTTTGGTTTGTCGTTCAGTTGTTTGGTTTATTTGATTATGGCAATGCTACATGCAAGCGATCTCCCGAGGGGAATACCTCCAGAGAGGATTTATATAGGAAACTGGCTTCTATTTAGGCGTTACAAACGTAAAAAAAAAACTGGAATACCAAGTGGCCAATCCGTTGGCCAGGCGCAAACCTCAGTATTCCGTGGTTTTATCTACTCGGCCACTGGTGGGCCGGTTTGTCGTTCACACAACCAATTTTCTAGTGTTTAAAAAAGTGCTAAAGAATTCTAAGAATTTATTTGCTAACGTTTGAAATTAATTGAATATTATGTTATAGAGTGCTTTAACTTTTTAAGTGACAAATATTTAGGTAAGAAAACCAATAGCATAATCCGTTTCATGTGAAACTTACTAGCCATTTGCTTACTTAGCAGCTTTGTATTCTAAACTAGTGTTATAAATAGTTAGCATATTTTATCAATGCGTAAGTAGCATTCAAACAGCCTATATTGTCCCTCAAAGTAGTTTTCTCAGAGACAACACACTCCAGACAGAGCTTTTACAGTTAGCAAAAATTCTGAAAGATTGCCTCAAGTGTTGCTGTCACCTGATTCTGAATATCCAAAAGTCAGCAAATCGCGTTCCTTTTAATAACTTTTTTTTTTTTTTTGGTTTAGGAAACAAAAATAAGTCTGCAGTAGCAAGATTGGGCGAGTAGGGTCAGTAATTCGAATACACGCCGACTCAGGAATTGTCACACAATAATCGCAGAAGGGGCAAGAGCATTGTCAAGATGTATGTACAAATCAAGTTGCGGTGCTCAGCAGTCATGTAGTATTGAGCGTTCATAGTTTGTTTTTCAGGAATAAATTTATTACGGATGATTCCTCGTTTGTTGGCAAACAGGATTAACACAGATTTCACTTTTAATTTTCGGAGACGACTCTTTGTATGACTTAATTAATGATGAATATGACCTCCACCCTACTGTATAGACAATGGCTTCGTTTATGAGTCGGACTGGAAACACTAAGCCTTGTCGCTTGTTACTATCGATCCCTGAAAGGTCAAATCAATATCTCACATGAAAATGAAGTTCCCATCGGTTTCATCCTTCAGGATGTGTGACACAGGTCGAGAACAGATCTTTTCCTTCTGCAGGATTATACGAACCGTTTCTTGGTTAAAGCGCAGTTCTTCTGTAATTAATAAGTCACGCGGTCGTCCTCTAACGACTCTTCCCCACGGTGAAAGGGTAGCCTACAAACCAATCATGTAGGCTACAAACTTTCTCGTTGCGTCATTGCTGTAAACATGTTGCAACATTCCCATGCCGTTTATTAAGTGCAAACGCACAGCGTGTTGAGACGTGTCCCTAAATATGTTAACCTACGATAAAGCATAATGCTTCAACTTGTCGCACGTGTTTGCATATCAAACGTAGGAGCTTTACACAACCATGTTAAATACTTAAATTTCAAATATTTAGCATTTTTAATGGATCTAATCTGAGCTAATTAGTGGAGGAATTCGACAGGGTTACGAACCTACTTCACTACTCTGTTACAATTAATTATCACTTAGTAACAAATCAACTTTTCAGAAATTGAATAAAATACTCCTCTATAAATTAAATCAAATTTTTGGCCAGATTAGTTAATTCTTTTGTAAAATTGAATTATTTGTTTAGACAAATTAGATATATATTTAATACAAAAAATGGTTTTCTGCCATCTAAATGAGATTTTTAGAACAAACACGTGATTAAAGTTGATTATTTTAAACACGAGGTATGAAACAACTTTTATTTTTGTGTGTTATACATTACCGGTTTCAAGACAAATTAATCTAATCAATCTAATTTTTTCTTTTCGTTTTTTTTAATAAAAGCAAAACAAGTTGATGAAGTTCAATTGCCTTTTGAATGTCGTGCTTCATGTAAAAAGAATCCTGGTTCTATTTTCTATTAAGGATAATTCCGCCCTTATACTTTCCGGTTGTCGTCTCTTACTAATATTACTTTACATTCATTCTTACACCATTCCTTCGGTTGTAATTAAGGGTAAAAATATATATTTTTTTGTTTTATAAGTAAAGCACATTGCAGAGTTGAGGTATTTGAAAAGAAAATACGCGGCTCAATCTTATTATATTTCTGAGGTTTATAAACACAGCACAAAACTTCTTTATTTTTGGATAAGAAGCCATTATTTAAAAAAACAAGCGGTAAACGCCTTTGTATCTTTGTGCTTCAGGAAATTACAATGGATCATTTCTTTTATTAATTACTTTATTTTAAAGCAGTACACTGCAATCATTCTACTTTCTTCTGTTTAATTAAAGCCTATTAATTTCTGAATGAATTTACATTTCCTTATGTTTAAGATGAAAATTTCCAGCCATAGTAAATTAGTATTGTTATATTTTAACGAGAGATTTGAATCAAAATGACAATACTCGTTACATAATCAGAGCGTAAGTTATAGAACTTAAATTAAACAAAGCATTAATATTATTATACGAATCAAACTGTATAGATTTAAAGAAATTGTTAAATTTTCACAATACATCGATCGATTGTACTAAATTTAATGATCAATTTATAATTTCTTTACTTAAATCTAAGTAATATTGTACGGCAAACTTCCTGAAGACCTGGATGACCCTGACGGCCTAGATTATGAAAATAGAATGACGTTTGGACTATAATAATTTATTCACGTTCTACTTTGCTGATTTTTGTATTTGTTAATTGTAACGTATTGTCAAACACCTTATTAATATTATAGATCTGTAATGTTTATGTCTTAGGCGTTGTGGCTATTATTTACCTAAGATGGAAATAATTACCATGCCGTATATAAGTACAAAACGTTAAAAATCTTAGAAGGAAATATTGAAAATTTCTGTGTATTCATTTATTTAAAAATATTCTAAGACAATTTTAATATTACTGTAAAAAGTAGAGCACAATTAATGATAAAAAAACAAACTTTTCGAGTAAAGAATGTGTTAATTACGTGTACAGTTAAAAAAGGAAGGGGTTAAGAAAAGTACTGTATATCGTTGTACATGAGTGAGAGGGAAGAGATTTGCTAAAATTACGTCATTGTAAACAGCAGGAAAGGAGGGGGTCAAAAGTGACTCAGAAACTGTACACATAATTAATGAACGGCCCTCTTTAATATGAATAATTGAAAAAAAATTATGAATATTTTTCTTTACTTTTGTATATGGCTATTAATTAGGATATTGAATTAGCGAAAATTTACAGATATAATCAGATAAGTGGTTATGTAATATAAACTAGTCATGCAAAGGACCTTGCTCTATTTTCTAACTTTTTATTGATATTAAAAATTATCTTATGCATTGTGAACTATAAAAATCAAATTTTCTTATCTTTTCAACCATATTTGAATAAATCAATTGTTTTTTTTTTAAATTCTAAATTGAAATAATTTAGATGTCAGTATTAAAGATTCTGGTATAAGAATAGATTAATTATTCAAATTATTTATAATTAAATAATTAAAAATACATATAATTTATTAAATAATACTTCAAGGTAAAATAAAGTCAATTTATTTTAAATTTCAATTAATTTGCCAAATATTTAATTTACATAATGATTTTATTTAAAAAATTTAGAAGATTATGTTTGGAAATGCCATTTATGTTATTTTACATTATAGAACAACTCTTCGAAATGTGGTTACGGCCTTTCATTCTGGTTTCTTTTCGCCCTTTTAATCATATCCTTTATGAGCACGGCCAGACCCACACCGGATCAGACGGGTAGTGAGGAATGGAGTCCAACATAACAGAAACAATTACCCTGGAATAATCTCAGAGATTTGCTGCCTTGAACTGATCCCAGTCCCGGAATCTGCCATTATTATATAATGCCCAAGCCATATATATAAAATATTACACATGAAATATACAATGACTGAAACCATCAGGCATTTG